CTGAAAACTCAAGACTGCTATGACATACATGGTCTTTACAAGTGTAAACTTTTGTTCACAACTGCAAGTATATGTTCTTGCAATTAACTTCCTTTATTACGATTGTTCTGCACATGTGCACATTGCCCAAGTCATGTTTAAAAGGGTAGGCAGTAAAATGTGGGAAACACTTATACCATTATTTAGTCATGTCTTTGCTGCTGGTTTGTTGACACTGATGAGGTATTCACTAAACTGGACATCATGCAACAGAGCATTCTCTTCTACAGCTGCTAGGGGTTTTTCAAAGATTGTTATCCACCAGTGGAAGAGTCATACAAAGCTTTTGCTGATGATGGTCATGGCCTCTTTGGAGCCTTCAATTTTATGGACCAGTAATTACCAAAAGACGTTTTGTGAAGTCAGATCTCAGTTCAATCCAATAGCAAAATGAAAATGTTTAAAATACATGTGCTGCCAATTTTGTATTGTATTTATGCAGTAGTTTACTCATTCATTGTAACCATTTGTCTTCTTTTTGTCTTCCCTAACTGTTTTGTTATCTGTGCTCAATAACTATTATATTAAAACAGGATGTCCGTATAAATTCAGTGAAATCTCCCTGCTGACCCACCTCTCTCAGTCAGCATATTAATCTTTAAACATAACCAAAATGATTGTACACAAAAATGAGAAATCAGCTTCTTTTTATTCACTAGTAAAATTATTGTTGTTTGTTTATATCTGAATAGACAAATAAGTTGTCCTCTCTCTCTCTCTCTCTTTATCTCTCTCTTTATCTCTCTCTCTCTCCCTCTCTCTGTTTGACAGACAGTGAACTTGGTTCTTGGTTGTGTTCATGAGTTCACTGAGATGTCAGGGTCATAAGCAGGTCAGCCAGAGCGCAGCTCGGAAAGGAGGGCTACAAACACAGGAGCTTGTGCTGACTGTGCGCTCTCTAGCCAGCTTGTGTGTGTGTGTGTGTGTGTGTGGGTGTGTGTGTGTATGTGTGTTTGTTTTGGCCATTAAGTATGAGCAGAGATAACAAACAAACTAACTGATAAGTGAGTTAGTTTATCATCAGTATATAAGTTAACGGTTATGGAACAGGTACTATATGAAAGTTCAATTTTGACTTCCTGCCACAGTAGATAGGTGCTTATATATATATTTCAAAAACGTTATATGTAGGATGCTTTGTATTTCTTTTCTTTTTTTTAAAGATTTTTTTTAAAGAACTGTCTTCTGTACAATGCAACACAGAGCTGCATTACATTCTGTGGAAAAAAACTATTTAACCCCCTAAGCCCTGGACTATTTTCAAAATTTCCATCTGAAAAAGCATTTTCAAACTCAGTGTCAGCTCCACAACTGTAGGGCCAAACTGAAAACACAAGACCTCTGTGGATCAGAGACACTTGACAGAATTATTAATTCATCTTGTCCACATCGCGAAAGTGAGATCTGAAAAATACCAAGAAGAATTAACATTTATAATCACCACCACTGTAAATGGAGCCTTGAAACAATGCGTGAGTAAACAATGATGAAATTGAATCTGCTCTGAAAATTGTCAGATTGTCAATCAATTAAATGTGATGCATCAGGAATTAAGCAATGCTGTAAAACCTGGCAATGGGATACATTTTAATAACCTGACCCTGAATGTCCAGGATGGAAAGCCTTGTTCTACAAATTGTGACAAACTGATCAGTATAGTGCAATACTGTGACTACACTTGTTAATTTAATATGTTGGAGATGTCAGCTATGGAAAAATGAGAATGGACACATTATTAAATGTGTGTTTAGGAGAAAAACAAGCAAACAGGAAAATGAACAAAGTGAAATAAAAGCAGAATAGATCATTTCTACATGAACTTTTTGCAAATAAATAGAAAAATAAGTCTTTGCCAACTGATTAAGAGTTAAAGATAAAGTACAAAGATTTACATTTGTTTTGCATTATATTTAAGTTACTGATCTAACAGTATTAATTGTCATATTTTTGATTTCTCTGATTACCAATTATTGTTGTTGTTTTGTTTTGTTATATTGTTTCTTTTGGGGCATAGTGCAGTGTTTCAATATAGATTTTCTTTACCTCATTTTAAAACCTCAATGGTCATGTGTTCAAGTGATTCACTTTGACCAGACCCCTGTCTTTATGTGCTCTGCACTGGTCAAATAAACACAAACGAAGGGTGCTACACATGGGCCACCAAAATTATGGTCCACGCCCTGATCCGACTGTCGCTGTCTCTCCATGGAGGTGTTTGAGAAAACCTTAAACCCCTCTGGTAGCCACTTACAGTTTGGGGTTAAATCAACAGAGTGATGTCTTTCTGATTTTAGAATAAAAGGTACTGTGTGTGCAAAGTGGATATGTTGCCCTTTAGTTAGAGGTTCACAGCTAAAATGGTTCATCCTCAAGGGAGCAATTTCTTTGCAATCAATCAATCAGATTCCAATATTTTCAGTTTACCACAGTGTGCTGATGTATGTGTTTGGACTTGGGTAAAATTGTTGTCTGCTGCAATCAAGGGTGCCTTCATGGTCATATTAATTCATGTACAGGGGAGGTGTGGAGCTCTGCTCAGTCTGGAAGTGGAGTCAACAGGTTTCCAGTGAATTTGTGGAGCAGCATGAGGATGTAAGGATCTAGGAATTAGTCTCTACACTTGAACTACCCTTCCTTCACGATTCCATCCCACCAACACCCCTCCTTTGGTTTATCACACCTGAACAGCAGAATGCTGTTTTACAAATTCACACTGTGATGAGAAAAACTCACCAGCTACAGCATGACGAGCTGGAAACCCATTCACCCTGCTGTTGTCTGTCTAAGACACAAGGATGTGTACATGTTACAGTTTTCAGAAGCCTATATGCTCCTAGTTATCATGTTAAAGGTTTAGCCTAATCTAACCTGTCTTAAGGCCCAGAGGTTAATACTATAAGTACTAAAGGCTCCGTCTTTATAGACTGGTTTGAATGCACCATTCTGTGAGATGCCCTCAAGTCAATTAAAGTAAATTTAAGAAATGATCTTCACACTGAAAAACTTCACTTCACAAAAGTGCATAGCAGTCACCTTATTAAATCTCTGGCATGAACTAAAAATACTAATATACAAGGACACCAAGGCAGGGCTGTAGCAGAATCTTAGAAATAACAAGGTCATGGATCAAAGTCCTCTGATCACCCCACCAGACACACAAAACAAAATCTCTTATAGGTTTCAGTTGTTCAGTCATTTGTTGTGTTTTATTCAAAAGAGCAGTTTTCAAAAAAAATTCTTCTGAAAACCAACAACTGCTTATAGACTGACTAAACTTAAAGTATAAGAACTGTCTCAGAATACTCTCATGTTCCGGTTATTAGAACACAGTTGTTCCTTCCAAAAACAGTGCAGTTGCTCATTTTTGTACTGGAGCCACCAAACAGTTGTAGCCACTCCGTTTATGGTCAGTGTCCATGTTGGAGAAAATACTCTACTGGAAAAACACTAAAATATTGTTTTTCTTTGTTGTTGTTCTACATATAGACAAATGTAAGTGCCTTGCTGACTCCCCAAAACTGGAATCAGTGGAAAAGTCTTTACTTGTGATCTATACTATAAACTCCCCAGGTTCCTCACCCCTACATTCACAGCTGAACTTGCAGTGCGCATGTTGCTGTGTGGCCATGGAGACTTGGTAGGAAAAGTCTGCTTTTCCATCCCTGCCATGATGGGATATCAGATTCTATCTCCGGGCTTCTGTGTGGCAGTAATAAGGATAGTTGTTGTGCCTTCCCACCCGGGTGAACCTCGGGGCAGCCTGCTGTGAAAACGCACACAGTCAGCCAGAACAGACAGATCCATCCATGTAATGTGTCCGTGTAAAAGCCGCAGCCAAGCTGTCTCACTCTGACTGAGCGGTGGACGCGCACACACGCAAACACTGTGTCACACATCAACTCAAAGTCGCACACACACAAACTCTCTCTCACACACCTCCTCATGTTATGGCAGGTCGTAAAATACGCGTCCAAACGCACAGTGAGGATGTGGTGGCTGCTCGGTGTTTACTCGGTGTAGCCCGGGGATAACCTCTGCGTGCGTGTGTGTCCGCGCGTCCCTTCGTCTGTCACTGCTGACCCAAGTTTGAACCCGCAGAGAGAGATATCATTTTATAACGCACACTCAGCCGCAGAGAGACAGAGAGAGAGAGAGAGAGAGAGAGCAGGTTAAAGTCTTCTTCTTCCAGATTAGACGGAGCTTCGGTGTGAAGCAGCAGCAGCTCACCGTCGTCTCATCTCAGTCAGATGCTGCCTCTCTGTTGTCTTCAGACATAACGAGGCAAACATTAAAGCTGCAGGTTTCCATATTTAAACCACATGGATAAACCTGCCAGTCACACAATGTCTTAGTCAGACACTGAAACCTTGTTAAACTGCAGGCAAAAGGAACAACTAAATGGACTCATAACAAACACTTTGCAATGAATGGCACAAGTGAGACCCGCAAGCACAGGGATTAAGAACCTATTTTCCATTTTCTGAAACGTCTGAAAATGTGCTGCTTAAAAGCTCTTTGCTGCTGAATGCAGGCCGCCCTGCAGGCACGACCACTGATCCAACGAGCGCAGCTTAGCGCAGTAATGAGAGTGTAAACTAGCTGCGTTATTGCCAACAAAGACGTCTTGGGACGCGCCTCCATTGTCTCGGAGGGAATCATCACCTTTTCTCAGTGAAATCCGCAGCGGATTGTCTGCGTGCAACAGGAGGTAGGATTAAAGATGCGGCCCTCGGAACAAATGGTGAGGCAAGTCAGTGAGCGCAGACTGGAGGCGGAGCCCAGCGACACCCACAATTAAAGATGAACTTTGTGTGAACTAATTTATCTGAGGGAGGAGAAGGTAACAGGCTGCCGAGCGCCTATAAATGCTGTGGATGAGCAGCCCGGAGCCTCAGTTGCTGACAGAGCTCCACCCGAACCGACCGAGTCGCTGACCCAGCTGAAGCCGCTGCAGCAGCACCATGCCCCTGAGCACACTGCTGGCCACCTTCCTGTGCACGATCGTGCTGCCCGTCCTGCTGTTCCTGGTGGCGGTGAAACTGTGGGAGGTTTACATGATCCGCGGCAGAGACCCCGGCTGCCCCAGCCCGCTGCCCCCCGGCTCCATGGGCATGCCGTTTATTGGAGAGACGCTGCAGCTCATCCTGCAGGTAAACGCTGACAGAGCGCAGACACCGAACGCTGCTTATCACCCACACGTGGAGAAGGAAGCATCAAACAATTTGAGGAAACGTGACTTAGACTTTATGACTGTTATCTGTTGTCGTCTTGGTAAACTAATAACAGTTTCCAACTTTCTGCGCTTGTTTGACGCGTCTGGCACATGTGGGTTTAAACTTTCTATTTAACTGGAGTTTATCTGCAGCTCCACTTTAACTCTCCCAGTACTCACTTCATAATTGTTTTTAACTATTAAGTCACCATCGCACTAGAGTTGATGTTTCCATGTGTGATAATCATCATCACATCTCTCTCACTGTTTGATTATTTCTCATTTCGTTCTCTGTGTGTGTGTGTGTGTGTGTGTGAACATGTTTGCAGAGGAGGAAGTTTCTGCGGATGAAGCGACAGAAATACGGTTACATCTACCGAACACACCTCTTTGGGAACCCCACGGTGCGCGTGACCGGCGCGGATAACGTCCGTCAGATCCTGCTGGGGGAACACAGGCTCGTGTCCGTGCAGTGGCCCGCGTCGGTGCGCACCATCCTGGGCTCGGACACGCTCTCTAACGTGCACGGAGTCCAGCACCGGACCAAGAAAAAGGTACGTCTGATTGTTCTTAAATGAGTGTTATTTAAAGCTTTTCTTAAAACTGAGGTGACGCACCATTAGCTGGTAAAAATCAGTTTCTAAAACACTGAAATAGTCCACAACCATCCATGTTCATTTTAAAATACGTAATCTTCCCAGGAAAACCAAGATGGAAACTCCAGGTCAATCCAATTGATCTAAGATGCTGTCTAAAATGTTTTTCAAAATGAGAATGAAGACAGTTACAGTAGCCTGTTTGTTCTGCCTCTTGCTTGAAAACCCACCAAAGTTTGTATCATGGAGTGTTTCTTTCATCAGATGAAATAAACTTTTTGTGCAAAATCCTCAAATATGTACTCCCTTTATACACTGCAAAAAAATTTCTAGCTTATAATAAGACCTCATCTTTTAAAAGACTGTTCTTCAAATGTGGTGAGAAAACCCTGACAGAAATCAGCTTGAAGTTTTTCTAGAATTTGATGTCACTTTCTTGGAGCATGACCCTGCTCTAGAATCAGTGGAAATGAAAGCTGATTTCAGAAAATGTTGTTCAATTGCATTTCAACACCTGAAATATATGTGCAGGTATATTTATGTTCTTAAAGTACTTGTATAGTGTTTGACAACAATAAACTTTAAGAGCTGAATTACAAGGAAATTATTTCATGAAGAGATTTTTGTTTCTGTACTTTGCTGCCAAAAGAATAACTTGTCCACCATCTCTGAAATGTAGTAAATGAAATGTGATTTGAATGAAATGCACTTGCTTGTGCTTTTATATATCTAACCTGGTCCTCCACCACTTGGTCTTTCTTCAGGCCATCATGCGAGCTTTCTCCAAGGAGGCTCTGGAGCTCTACATCCCAGTTATACAGGAGGAGGTGCAGGCAGCCGTGAAGGAGTGGCTGGCCAGGGACTCCTGTGTGTTGGTCTACCCAGAGATGAAGCGGCTGATGTTCCGCATAGCCATGAGGATTCTTTTGGGCTTCGAGCCAGAGCAGATCAAGACTGACGAGCAGCAGCTGGTGGAAGCTTTCGAGGAAATGATCAAGAATCTGTTCTCTTTGCCTATTGATGTGCCTTTCAGTGGACTGTACAGGGTAAGAGAAAGACAGAATCTTCATCAAATCAGCTTCTTTTTAAAGCTTCAAATGATGTGGATCAAATTTCTATACGCACTATAAAGCAATGGTTGCCTGTAGCATTAATTTATTGTAGTAAGTGGGCCAAACATGTAAAAACACTGATTTGATCCGTTTAAATCAGAGCACACACATGACATGAGGCACATAGAAAAGTGAAATGTTAAATGAATGCATCTGTAGATACAGATTCATACTCAGTCAGTGCAAATGTTTAATTTATCTCTTAACCTTTTTCTCCCCTCATCCTCCATTTACTCTTTCTATCCTTATTTCTGCCTCCCTTCACTCTTTCACTTGTCCCTCTGTGGTCCTCCTGCCATCCCTCCTGTCCTCCAGGGTCTAAAGGCAAGGAACCTCATCCACTCCAAGATAGAAGAGAACATCAAGAAGAAGGTGCAAGACTCAGACAAAGAGACAAAATACCGAGATGCCCTGCAGCAGCTCATTGACAGCAGCAAGAAGAATGGAGAGCCGTTTAGCATGCAGGTGATGACAGCTCACATCAAATTTACTGTATCAAAACCACCTCATGTCTTTCTTCCCTATGATCTGTTGTTTGGGTTAAGGGCTGAAAAAATTCTATTTGTGTGTTTGTCTGATCCCAGGCCATCAAGGAGTCTGCTACAGAGCTGCTGTTTGGGGGTCATGAAACCACAGCCAGCACAGCCACCTCACTGGTTATGTTCCTGGGCCTAAACCCTGAAGTAGTGGATAGACTGAGGCAGGAACTAATGGACAAGGTAATTATCATGTGTAAACTACAATTTAGGTTTGATGCAGCACATTCAACCTAAGAGATGGCTTGGTGCCATTAATCTGAGTGATTTGAGGGAAATTCTCTGGCAATCTACTGTTATATAGTTATTGTAATGAAACATACAGGAGGGTTAGTATAGCCACAGGGCTAGTAATCCACACCAAAGTTGTCTCAGTAAAGCTAGTTGCTTGTGGAAAGTATGAATATGTATTATTTCCATCTAATTTTTAGATGCGCTACACCACCTCTGGCACGGTTTTTCATTAGGTTTCAGAATGTTTCTCAGCTTGAGCTATTATGTAGTGACTCAACCACTGAGATGATTCTACTGTCTTCTGCTTCTCCTCACACTCATGTTTGTTTCTTTGTGTTCAGGAGGAGCAGGGGATGGACCTCCAGAGTCTGAACATTGAGTCTTTGGAGCAGTTAAAGTACACCGGCTGTGTCATTAAAGAGACGCTGAGGATCAACCCTCCTGTCCCTGGAGGCTTCAGAGTGGCCCTCAAGACCTTCGAACTCAATGTAGGCAAACAAAGATCTCTGTGATTAAAAAATACTCTGAAAGTAGCAGATTGTAGAGTTGCAACTAAAAATCTGCTCACCAATCATTTTTTCCGTACTTCCTCAGGGTTACCAGATTCCCAAAGGCTGGAATGTGATCTACAGCATCTGTGATACCCATGATGTGGCAGAGATCTTCCCCAACAAAGAAGACTTCCAGCCGGAGCGCTTCATGACCAAACCCTCTACAGACTCCTCCAGGTTCCAGTACATCCCGTTTGGTGGCGGCTCCAGGATGTGTGTAGGGAAGGAATTTGCCAAGGTTCTGCTGAAGATCTTCCTAGTAGAAGTGGTCAGAAAGTGCCACTGGACCCTTTTAAACGGGCCACCAGCCATGAAAACTGGACCTACTGTCTATCCTGTGGACAACCTGCCAACCAAGTTTACCAGCTATGCACAAAATTCAGGGGGGTTTGACAAGTGATTGCATTTCTTAAAGGCTGTGTAAAATGAAATTGAATTTGTTTCCCTCAAAAGTCTCAAATCCTTGAGATTTTTGGATTACTGTTGCTCCTTGAAAACTGATCGTTGGCCACGTGAACAGAAAATATGTTCTTCCTGGGCTCATGTCAATGTGGTATTTTTTGGGCATGAATTGTACATATTGTATATTGCCTTAGAACACATTTATGTTTTATATTATGATGTTAATACATTGCAATTGTATATATTTTCTTTTTTCTTAAGATATGGACAAACTAAACAAGAGGCACTATACACTTACATGGAACACTTTAATCAGCTCAGAGGTGTATCTATAGAATTGTGTACATATGTAATGTAGAGTCTGTTTATATAACTTTTCTATCTTACCCCAACTTATTTAAGTGACTTATATTGTATGGGCAGGTATTTAATAAAAGTGTTTTGCTGAGAGTCTTGTTTTATTTTCTTTGTTTTTGCATTTAAATTGAAAAAATACACAAAACCAAACCAAAACATTGTGACTACCCCTACCTATGCTAAGATGCTTTTGGTCCTTTGTGTGCCATCAAAACCACTTCTAAAGGTGTCCTGTATCCTTTCAATCCTTAGCTGTTATAAAATAATTGTTCGTTTATCAGTGAGTGACAATGATTCAAGTAATAAACAAAGACTTAAATATGCAGCAAACAAATCCGTTTCTGTGTTGAGGACAAACTGTGGTTAGCTTCGGAAAACGACTGGGAGCAGGGTTTGAACAGCAAGCATCAGTCTAAAATTAATAACATCTTCCCACCATTACCTCCCACCCATATAAACAAAGAATTGGTTTTATCATTTGTTTGAAAAATGAGTAGCAGAGTCGTGGGGAGTAGAACCTTTACGCTGCTGTTTCAGCCTAAATCATAATCACAGCTTCTTCTCTCCATTTCACTTCTCCATCCAGACAAAAATTGTCCTTTTCTGCCATGAAAGTAGTCTCCAGTTGTACATGGAATCCCGATCTCTGTAGAATCACTGAAATATTGCTGTTTTCATGAACTCTGAGAGAAGGACAAAGAACAATTACAGTGCTTTCCTGACTTTACTTGCTGTTAACTCTAAAAAGCAGTTTGACTTCTGGCTGTTGTTTGATAAAGCTACCACTCAACTAAAATTGATGAAATCTGCGAATAATATTTGTTGTTTGTCGTCCTGCAACAACATGCAAGAAATGCATATTGTCACATTTGATTTCATGGAATGTAGCTGTCAGGACTAAGAGTCTAAGAGTTGTATATAAAGAGTTTAATTGTGTATAAATGTTTAGAAGGCTACTCATTTTGATCTGTAGTAACTTCATTATTCCACAATTAAAAACAGAAAAAATAGGTGCAAATGAAGGCATTAATGAGTTGTGTGATAGTGATTGAAAATGATGAGACAAAGAGTAGCTCTCTAAGGCTTATTTGAAGACTCCAGGTAAAGTTTGTTGTCGATAGGTAATGTTTTTACTCAGTGTGCACAGAAAGTGCACGGCCCTGACACACCCACACATTCCATTATCCTTGCAGAATCAATAAACTGTGAGGAGGAAAAAAAACATAGGAGCAATCTGGAATCCATATAAAAAGAAAGGAAACCAAAGCTAGAATGCTGATGACCCTGGCAGATGAGCAGACTGAAGGTGAAACAGAGTTCATATTGATCGGGTCAGTTTCAGGCCACTGAACCAGTGGAATAGTAGAAGCAAGATTGTAACACGGGTTCATGATTACTACAGGGACAGACACAAGATCCCTTTAATATCATTTAGAATAACAAAACAAACAGTTAACAGATTACTGGTGGAGTGTGTTTATGATTCCAGTTTAGAAAACAGCAGATCAAATTGTGAGGCCGACTGTTCAGACAGAGTGCTACATGTTTGTTCTAAGAACGAGTGTGTAACTGGCAGAGAGACCAGCTAATGATCAGATATCTGGTTGGGCTAAAGGATTGGGTTTCTTGAAACAATCTCTGTCACACACTACTGTTATACTTTTCACATCTGCAAGTATGTGAGGGTTTGCTTGGGTCCACGTGACATCCGTTCTTATCATCTGCTTAAGTCCTCGTGGACGTCTCTGCATTCGTTCATGTGCAGCCCAAAACTGTGTCCATGCAGCCACTACACTAACAACAGTTACTCAGCAGTAGTGTGTATGTATAGAGTGCAGACATTAAGCTACTGTACTTGTAGAAGAGCACATCCTCCCAGCAGATTTGAAAGTAGTATAATTTAAAACAATTATTGCTCCATGGTGTCTGCAGTTGTTCTTGTGAGTCCATAAGAGAGCATAAGGCTTGAAGTCATCCAACCTTGTGTGGAAACAAAAGTGTTTGGGATGCCAGGCTTTAAGGTGGGGTAAAGAGAATGCTGTCTTAGTCTCCTGCCTCCTAATACCTCACTGATCTCTGTTTTGTGTGTCTTTGCTGTTCACTTCAGGTGCAGGATCACACCTCAGACTCTTCTTCCTGTCATATGTCTATGTCTATGAATGTCTGCAAAGCTGTTTGTTTGCATTTTCCACACCCAACACACTCTTTCTCTTTTCCATCCCTCTCGCTTCTATCATCGCTCTAGCATGGAAGCAATGGTAGGACGTCCTGACGCCTTGCCCACACTGCAGACATTTGTTTTGCTTCATCATTCTCATTTGCTAAATGCTAAAGGATAAGTAAATAATTAATTTGCATTTCAATTGATGGTGTAGTCCTTGCCCCTAAATTGTCCAAAAAGCATTTTTTTGTGAAACTTACAAAAATTGTTAGATGCCGCTGTCAGCCCAGTTCAGCAGGTGTTGGATTAGATTAGAGGCAGCATACACTGTGGCCCGGTCTGTGTCCTACAAGAAGATATGTGTATTAGATGGCTCAGTGTACACCCAGTGCCAACTTGCAGTGGTAATGCAGGCAGTAATGGGAAGCTGGTGTATTGCTGTAACTCTTTACAGGCTAGAATGCTAAATTGTTGTTGGCTTGAAAGACTTAAATCAACAGTCAGTGAAGTATGGGCTTAAGAGTTATCCATCCATCCATCCATCCATCAATACATCCATCTATCAATACATACATACATGTATACATGTCAAAAATAGTATTTAAAAAGTCTGGGGACAAAACCACGAATTTGCTCCAGTGTCAGTATGTGCATAGTTGTTGGGATATGTTCAAAACAAAACAAAACAAAACTTTCTTAAAGCATAAGGATAAACATATACATATATATTTACACTATGGTTATAGTCCAGGTAATATGTGACAAAATTGGTGATGTGTTAACTTTTTCAAAATAAAACTGAAATTGACACCAAAACACTCCTGGCAGCTTGTTTAAAGTTAAGGATAGACTGACTTGCCTGCAATAAAGTTGACAATGTTTCTCCAGACAATGGGCAAACACCATTTGGTTCAGGCGATATGATGCCAAATACGTAATTAGTTTATGGTGGTAGAGTAAAACTGTGTTTTGGAATGGCTTTCTGAAAATGTTCAAGGTTCTACATATCATCTCAAATTTGACACATATCTCCTGGACTGTAAGTGCTTATAAATGATAGTGAACTGTAAAGAGTGATCTCAGTCTGATCAGTACGTGAAACATTCTGGCTGCTTGTATTTGTAACACTCAGTAGAAGTCCTCACTCAGCTTGGCAAATGAGAAGCCAGTCTTTCTGTAGTTTAATGGCAGCCTTACTGGCAGATGTGCTTTGGCCTCTTTCACAAGTTGTTTTTCATTCTGGTGCCGTTCTGATTTATACCCGGCCTTCTTCCACTACATGTTGACTTCTTAGCATTGTACTGTTGTCCCTGGCCCTTGTTTATTACTGTGCTGCTTGCAAATATTGGATCCACAAATGCTGAATGTTGTACTTATTGTAAGTCACTGTGGATAAGAGTTTCAGCTTAATGGCCAAAGTGTAATAGTAAATTGTAGCTGACACCTTTATGTCCAGCCATCCTATCACCGCTAGTCCAGCCCTCGAACGATGTGAATGAACTTTTCTGAACTTTGCCTCCTCTCCTCATTCTAAAGAGTGTCTGCTTCCCTCCATTGTTCACCATCACCCAGTGGAGACAAAACTTTGCACGGCCAAGGCCATTTTTGTCTACATTTGTGACCATTGTAGTAAATTTACAACACAGAGTTGAAAGAGGTTTAAAGTTAGCTTGCTTTCAATTAGATCCCCAGGCCTGAACATGGTCCAGAGTAAATCATTGTAATAGCCGGTGAAGTACTGTTATTGAAGGCAACACTTTTAAACACCGTACCACTTTGTTGCCATGAACAGTACATGAGAGAGGTGAGGGTGGAGAATGGAGGAAGCATAGACAACCACAGGAATGAAAGGGAGAGAAAAGGGAGGAATCTGTTTTACAAAGTTCTGAACATCCTTGGAATGGTGCAGTGCATATTATATGCAAACTGTTTTTAAGGGAGCAGGATCCTCTCAAAGAACTGTCTTTGAACGGAGTTTTCTGGTGAGCTTAGTTGGATTGGTTTATGTACGTGGATTATCTACTGTCTGAAAACATTACCACATATTATCTCTAACTCTGTCCCTATGCTTGTACTTGCAATTATACCAGAAATGTTCAACACTTAGAAACATATACTTGAGAGATTGAATAGTAAAAGAAACTACAAACACACTGAACCCATTGTAATTTGTCACACACTTAGAAATAAAGAAGCAAGTAAAAATAAGTGGTTGTTTTATGAGTACAACATGTTTAGAAGCAATGGTTTCATGTTGGAAGCATTTCCTTTAAGGAACAGAAACTACATTTGGATGCATTTTCCTGCAGCTACAGTACAGTTACAGTACAAATGGTTTATTTATCGTTGAAAGATTTAAAAAGAAAAAAAAAAAAAAAAACGCCATTGATGTGGTATGTGAGTGCTTATGTGAATAAGAGAATGAGAAACAATTTGTAAAGCGTTTTGTGCAATTCAACGGTGCTATGGAAGTGTGAACCATTTAACACTCTCAACTACATATTTTTCATACAGCCAACACTCACATTTCGCAAATCCTGTGGATAACTCAATCTAAAATTAGAAAAGATGTAGTCTGGTGATGCCATGAAGTGTTGTGTAAGTGTAGGAGTTGTTTTCTTCATCACCATTGTTGATAAAATCTGATGTGACCACAGACTATTTATAAAAGACATAGCCTCAGGGTCTGAAAAGTAAAGCCTACAGGGAAGTGACTTGAACCAACAAACCAACATTCTTGCTAACAGTCAGCAGGGTGACTATTCTGGTTGCAAAGGTATGACTATATAGAAATGTTTTATAAAAATGTCCCTTTTTAAAAAATCTGATAACTATAATATTTTCCTAATGAGTGTATCTCCCAATCCTAGTTTCAAGACTTTTTGGAAAGTC